TCCTCCTCTCCCCCGCAGACACAGGTGGTCCCAGGCTACATTGACGCTGATGCTGCGCCACGTGCTGTGCGTGCTGGCCCTCGCGCTGTGCTGCACGTCTGTGTGGGTGACAGCAAGCGACATGCCTAATGGTGCAGTTGAATTGAAGCTTAAGAACGGCGACGCGAAGATAACGCTGACAGAGACAGTTGATGACAGCAGCTGCACAGCGAAGATAGCTGCAGCTGGTGGGAAGAGCAGCGATGTTTCCATTTCCACGACGGTTACTTTGAAGAAGAAGAAGGCGGATGCGCCAACAGAAACGACTGAAAGTGAGAATGGGCAGTCTAAGATTGTCAAAGTTCCTGTTGGGCACAGCTTAACGCTTGTCACCACACTGAATGCTGAGTGTACGAAGGAAGGCGCAACGGTTTCACAAGCCCCTGAAACAACGTGTACGGGGACCGTGGAGGGCGTAGCTACCAACACTATCACCTATGATGCCACCATGAAACCAACTCCAACTGTCCATAGCGCTGTAAACCCCTCGCTAGCAGATAATCGTGAAGTGAGTGTCCCAGTTGGGTCCAACGTGAAACTCATTGCGAAAGTTGTTGCTACATGCGCCGCTGTGTCAGAAGCCCACTCATCAAGACACTCCACAGGGACTATAACTTCTAGCGAACGACAAGAGGAGTCCCTTGATGTCAAAGGTGCTGGCAGAATTCTTCCCCCAGCTGAATCTCATCCATCCAAGCACACCCCTATCAAACCAATGACAGGCGATCAGCAGACTCAGGGCGGTAAGACCTCTCAGCAATCCAACAATCCAGTGGGTGGTTCCCTCACGGGAGATCCAAAGCCAACTGGTCAAGGTGATGCCGATGAAAGGAGCAGTGCTATCACCAATGACGACCCGGCTCCTGCTTACAGCGAGGTGGGCGGCACAGAAACCGAAAACACAGTCCCAGTGAAGGACACCGATTACACCGCCTCCACAGTCACACCTCAATCAGAGACCACCGCTGAAGAAGCTCCCAAAACTGATGTCGGTGCGCCCACCTCTGCGGGAGAGGGCGTGAAGCTTCCTGAACGCAACACCGACGCCAGCAGCAGCAGCAGCACTGCGTGGGTGCGTGCCCCACTGTTGTTGCTGCTTGCCGGCGTGGCCGTGTGGTAAAACATCTCTGTGTGTGTGTGTGTCCATGGGCGACGATGGCCTCGTAATAATTGCGTTGGGTCCCGAGGGCTGCGTTCTTCATTATAAAGAATTCTTTTGTTTT